CCCAAAACCCTAAACTCCAAAACCCCGAAACCCCAAAAACCCTAAACCCCCAAAAACCCTAAACCCGCAAAAACTCCAAAACCCCAAAAACCCTAAACCCCTAAACCTACCTGAGCCCCCTTTTGATCGGCAAAATCCAACCCAGGCTCGGGGTTGCGGCAGGCTCCCGGCGGTGGGGTGAAGGTTTGGGCTTGGGGTTCCTTAAAGGGCTCCTTGAAAGGGATCTATAGGACCTATAGGGTTTAGGGTTTAGGGATTTAGGGATGTTGGGATTCAGGGTTTAGGGTTTAGGGTTGAGGGGTTTGGGGGTTTTGGGTTTAGGGTTTAGGGTTGAGGGGTTTTGGGGTTTTGGGTTTAGGGTTTAGGGATTTTGGGGTTTAGGGTTTGGGGATTTTTGGTTTCAGGGTTTTGGGTTTAGGGATTTTGGAGTTTAGGGTGTAGGGGATTTTGGGTTTCAGGCTTTAGGGTTTAGGGATTTTGGGGTTTAGGGTGCAGGGGATTTTGGGTTTCAGGGTTTAGGGATTTTGGGGTTTAGGGTGTAGGGGATTTTGGGTTTCAGGCTTTAGGGTTTAGGGATTTTGGGGTTTAGGGTTAGGGGATTTTGGGTTTCAGGGCTTAGGGTTGAGGAATTTTGGGGTTTAGGGTTTAGGGAGTTTAGGGGTTAGGATCCAGGCTTGAACCTGTGGGGGAGTAAGACCACACGGTTGTATGTAAAATCCCCTTACAGCATCCTTGAAAAAGATCCCTTAAACTCACTCTTATTAGAGCCCTTGCAGACCAAATTTGATAGGAACCCTTAAAAGAACACGGTTAGCCAGACACCTTTTCTTGCGATGCTGTGCATGGCACATGTCCAGATTGGCACCTTGGGTGCTTTGCTGAACAGACAACGATCCACAGTAAGCTCTGCAACACATGGGCCGTAATAGCTTGAATAGGGCATCCCTGAAAACCGCAAACTTCCCCAAACCCAAATCATGCAACAGAAAGCTGAAACCCTTGAACCTCCACCGTAAAGGGTCTACTGCCTAAACCCTGAGCTCTAAAGGCCGTAGGCACTTAGACCCAAACCCTAAACCCTAAGCCCTACACCCTAAGCCCTAAACCCTACCCGAAACCCGTATATCCTGGGAGTGCTGGACGCCACGCCGGCCGTCGGCTGGGAAAATCCGGCAGCGGAGCACAAGTGGGCTCTTGTTAAGGAAGAGATTTACCTCAAGCTGCCATCATTAAAGCAACCATATTATTTAATGCCATCATAAAGCAACCACATTATTTAATGCTATAAATCCCGCTGATGGTAACGAAAATGAAATTTCTTAACAAGAACCCAGACAAACCCAGGCAAAGTCTGAGAGAAAGAGGGTTTGAGAGCTTGGTTTTAGGGTTTAGAGATTCATGGTTAGGGGGCTAGCGATTTGGGAGTTCAGGGTTTAGGATTTGGAGTCTAGGATGTTGTAGGGATTGGGATTTGCGGATATCGGGGGGCTCGAGGTTTAGAACAGATGAGGTCTGAAGGTTTCGACAGGGGGTCTTCGGGCGTTCAGCGTGGCCTCGAGGGCTTGGAAGGCTATCGGATGTTGGGGTTTGGGGTTTAGGGTTTAGGGTTTAGGGTTTAGGGTTTAGGGTTTAGGGTTTAGGGAAGGGTAAAGGGTTTAGGGTTTAGGGTTTAGGGAAGGGTAAAGGGTTCGCAAGCCAAGCTCGAATTTTCGACAGCTTCCCGCCCAAGTGGGCAACGTGGTTTCTTGTCGACAGATAGTGGCCTCAAATCTCGATAATGAAGTCCGGAAAGCTCTGATCAGATCCCTTCAGTTCTCCGATATCTTCCCTCATCGCAGCAAGATCCTCCTCACTTGGGCTGTCATGGGCAGCAATACTGGAATCAGCAGCAAAGCCGCCAACCGGGCCTTCATCAGACGGCGTATCCTGGATGTCGGGAGACTCGGCAGCCAAAGGATCGTCGGCAGATCCGCTGGGCATCGTCGGGTCTTCCTCTACCCAACTCTTCAGCTTTGCCTGGTTTAGAACCGGCGGAGCCCGGTCCTTGGAGTCTGACTCCACCGCCTCGCAATCGTAGTCATCATCGGCCTCCTCTACCTCCTCGGAAGGAGGTGCAGGGGAGTCCCGAAGATCCGCCCCAAGAGCTCTGCGCTTTCGGAGATGGATCGCTAAACCGAGAAGACCCGAGAGGGACAAGGAGCACAGAATCACCTGGGCTCTTGTTAAGGAGTTTAGGGTAGCTCTTAAATCATTATGGTTTCCTTATTCTGGCAACTGAAACGAAATCTCAAAACAAGAACCCAGTCACCGAGACCAGCAGCCCAGCTCCGACGCTGCCCGTAGCGCCAGGCTCTCTCGCCGCAGGGAGGGGGCTGGGCAGAACTTGTGAGGATGTCGACGTCGAAGTCCAAGTAGAACTCAGGGAGGAGGACGTCGACGAGCTTGCAGTGGATGATGCCGAAGTAGTCGAAGACATGGAAATGGATGTTGTGGAAGTCAGGGACGTTGCGGTGAGTGACTGAGACGAGGTCGTTGCAGTGCGAGACTGCGTAGATGATGTGCTCGTGCTCGTACTTAAGGTAGACGACTGAGACATGGTCGTAGAAGAGCTGGACGATATGGATGAGATGGATGATGTGCTGGTTGACAAGGAGGTGGTGGTCGACGAAGATGTGCTGGAGGATGTGGCGCTGCTCGATTCAGAGACACTTGAACTGGTGGAAAAGCTACTTGTTGAGGAGACAGTGCTTGAGGCCGTGCTGCTGCCAGAAACAGTGCTGC